GCCGTTGACCAAAAGGCTTCTCGACTAAAAGCTGTGGAATTAATAAATATTTCTTGCCTGACATATTAGGCAGACCAAGAAACACAGTTATTAGCTCTAACTTGAAAAAGAATATTAGGGGTTGGAAAAGGAAGGAATAGTTATAGCAACCCAGGGAAATTACGAGAGAGGGAAGTCGAACGCTGCCTGCAGCTTAACTTCTTTCTTCAACTCAAAGTTCTGAAGGCATTACCTCTTTCCCTAGATCTCCTGATCTCTGCCACTGTTCCAAGAGAAATGAAGTTGTTAGGAAGCTTCAAGACCCTCTGAAAATGGCCATTAAAGTGCCTTTTTTTTTTTTTTTTTTTTTTTTTTGAGACAGGGTCTCACTACGTAGTTGGGACTGACCTGGAACTCACTATGTAGCCCAGGCTGGTCTTGAACTCATAGAGATCCTCCTGTCTCAGCCTCCCGAGTGCTAGAATTAAAGGCATGCATCACGCCTGCCCCCCCCCTTTTTTTTTGAGAGAGGTCTTGCTATGCTGCCCAGGTTGGCCTGGAACTATTGTGCTTAAGTGAGGCTTCTGCCTGGGCCTCCCATGTAGCTGGGAGTATAGAAGTATTTCATCCTGCCAGACATCCATACTTTTGCTGTTGTTTCTTGCTGTTCTAGCCCAGGGTTGTTTGGGAAAGGCGGAGGTAGTTCCAACCAGGTACCTCATCACACTTCACTTCTCTTTACTCCTCTGATTTTGCCTGTAAGCTGTTGAGGAAAGCTTGAAACTCTGGAAGCCAACTGGGAAGAATATTTTATTTATAAAAATATAATATGCATAATTCTGTAGAAAAAGAGACCTTTAAAACAGAAGTACATGATTCAATAGGAAATGTGGCTTGCTCTATGTAAAATAGGAATGGAAAAAATATGTAGGCCAGTGTCACGACATATACCATTTAGAATATTCTCGTGGGGAAAAACATCTGAAATAATTACTTTATTGCTCGTCTAGTAAAAGATCAGAATAAATAAAGCTTGGATTAGAAAGCATTAGTGATAGGGATGTTATTTTTTCCCCCCAAAGATCAATTACTTAATATCTTTATTGCCACCCTTTAAGATAGGTTAATGATTTTGAACTCTGCCCCAGACACGGTCAGGCAAAAATGGTACCGTGGAGCCAGGTGAGGAGCATCTGTAATTCTAACTACTCAGGAGGCTGAGGCAGGAGAATCATTTGAGACCAAGAATTCAAGGCCAGTCTGGGTAAGATAGCAGGCCCCTCTCATATACACACACACACACACACACACACACACACACACACACACGTTACTGTGAAAAAAATAACTTGAGCTTTTTGAAGCTAAGTGTTATCCAATGGCAGGAAATTATTCCATGCTATCATTTTTAATTTCATTTTTGTTTTGTAGTAGTGGGATTAAACCCAGTGCCTCACATATACTAGGCAAACACTATCACTGAGTAACATCCTCGGCCCTTTTAAACTTTGAGACAGGATCTCACTATAGTGCCCAGACTAGCTTGGACTTGCGGTCCTCTCTGCCTCAGCCTCTTGAGTGGTTGGGATTACAGGCATACACCCATGTGCCTCACTTTCTTTTCCTCCCTCTCCCATGTCTCTTCTTTTTTCTTTATTTCTTTTTCTCTCTTTTCCTTTCTCTTAATAGATTTAGACACGATGAGGGTGAAATTCAGTTATATCTAAAGGTGTAAAAACAAGATTGAAATCAATAGTTTAAAAAGAAAGGAATGATTTTGGATGGCAGTTGTTTCTGTAAAAAGGGTATTTTCATGCCTGAGCAGCCCTGATATTTTATTAGGTGGAAGCCAAAGCAGAGAACAGGCCTTTCCCTTTTTGAAATAGTTCATCTAACTGAAATGCGAAGCATATAGTTTAGCAACAATTCACACCTAAATAAACATAGACCTTGAATTTGACATGAATCTCATTTGCAGTGAGAAGCTTTCCATAGCTTTTTTTTTTTTTTTGTACCAAGGATTGAACTCAGGACCAGGCAGGCGCAGCACCACTGAGTGACATCCCTGGCCCTCAGGTCCTTGTACTTGCAAGGCAGGTGGTGGAACCACAGAGCTAAATCCCCAGCCCCCATAGCCTTTTATTTCCGTTTTTGTGGGTCATGCTATGTGGCCCAGGCTGGCCTCAAACTCACAGCAATCTTCCTGCCTCAGCCTCTCGAGTGGTGGATACAGGCATGCGCCGTCACAGCTAGCCTCCATAGCCTTTTAGGCTCCATGGGTTGACATAGTATTTACTTGGATTCAAATCTTTGCTCTTTTCCTTTGTAAGTATGGCCTCAGAAAAGTTATCGAATGCCTTAGTTCTTTAGCTTCTTTGTAAAGTGGGACTAACTTTTGGGTTGTTGTGAATATTAAATGAGATGATACATTTAAGATCTTAAGGGCAAAGCCTGACACACAGAGAAAGCTAATGAGCATTTAACCCTTATTCTCATCCAGTTCTATGAGTCATTAATTATTGGATGTCTACTATGTAGTAGTCTCCATACCAGATCCTAAAAAAGAGGCTTGCTTTTTTGTGTCTTGTCTACAAAAAATGTACTACAAATTTACTTATGAAATACTTGTCAATGTGGCAGTCTAGTGAGACTCGTGTTAGCCTAGGAAAAAGGCTAGCTGGATTCAGAGGTCATTTTGAATGGATATAAATGAAATGGTTACTTAAGATCTTGTCTTTAAGTTGTTGAGTAACTCTGCCAGGTTTTACAACATGTATTTCTGATGCATAATAAACCCACTGTGACATTCAAAGAGTCAAACATACCTGATTAGACTTTTCTGTCCTGTATTTATAAAAAGGTTAGTGGTGCATTTCCTCTGTGCAAATTATTTTTGGCTCTTACTAATATTTATGAATATAATAAAGTCTCTACAGCATGATGCATGTGATTAATTTGTCCTAGTCATTAGCTTGCTTTTTATTTAGGGAGCCATCTCAGAAGATGCTACCTCTTGAACAGTAATTTCAGTAGGGAATAGCAATATACAGGAAAGGGCAGTTGTACTTTAGCCCTGTGGGGCAAGATGAGAAACATAATTATAGCAGTAATGTATTCTGTTGTATAAATTTATCATGGAATCGGTGCAGGAACACTTTCATCAGCAGGCTTTGTGATGATTCCAAGGCTGTGATGTTTGACCTGAGAGTGGCCTTGAGTGGATATATCAACAGGGCATTAAAAGTAGGTTTTTTTGGTACCCTGGGAGGCTGAGCAGGAAGACCACAAGTTGGAGTCCAACTCCTGCAACTTAGTGACTTAATGAGTCCCTTTTGCAAACGAAACAAAGAAACGAATGAACAGACAAATAAACAGGAAAGGGCTGGGGTTGTACCTCAGTTCACAGGCCCTGGGTTCAACTCCTAGTACTGGAAGAAAAAAAAAGGAGTTTTCTCTTAACTAGTAGCTGATTATTTAGTCTAGTTTAAGTATAGCTTTAAAGAAAAATCCCCTCACAGTACTGGATATAGAACTCAGGGCCTTCATACTGTGATACACTCCCAGCCTGTTTTTATATTTTTTATTTTATGATAGGGTCTTGCTAAGACACTAAGCTGCCCAGACCGGATTTAAACTTGTGGTGCTCCTGTGTCAGCCTTCCAGAGGGCTGGGATTATGGACATGTGCCACCACATCTAGCTGTGTTTTCAGCTTTGACTGGCTTTAGCACTGCTTGATTGGTTACTTTTGGAGATTTTGGAGTAAAATTAAGCCACGGGAATATACATTTTAGAACCTCTGCTTATGGTGTTTTAGCTTCTTTGTTTTTGGAACCGGGGATTGAATTTGGGACCTTGTGCTTGTGAGGCAGGCAGCGGAACCACTGAACTAAATCCCTAGCCCTGCCTATGGTATTTTGACAAATACTAGTATTTGGTCACTAATATCCTATGGCTCCTTCACTGGCACAATTTATAGTTAAGAACCTGAACATACAATTTAATTACCCAATATGTTCTAGGATGGAAATAACTAGGCAACTTTTCTAAGAACTTCTGAAGCAGAAGAGAAGTGAACAGGCCCCTTCTTAACAAATCTGACTCTAAGCATTTACTAACATAGGAACAAGAGCATACCAGTTGGAGGCAACTTGGGGAAGCAAATTCTGTCCGTACCCAGTTACAGAAGGTTCCTTAAGGGCATAAAACCAGTTTTGTACACCCTTGTGCTTAGCACTCCTTTTTTGCCTACCCATTTCCAAGAGGCTGGTGAGCTTTAAGGATTTAAACTTTCCAAAGGCAACCTACTGCTGCCTCCCAAACACAAGTCATCTATCACTACACAAAAGAACAAAAAACGCCTAACCTTGACCCCCCAAGTAGACTCAGGCTTGGTTCTTATCAGAAAGGGACTCAGAATTAATAAGGCCAGTTTGGGGCTATTCGGAATGAGCCTTCCTGGTTAAACATAAAAACAAAACAATAAACACTGCTCCTTCCCCTTTCCCAAAACAAAAACTCCCAAGGCGAGGCTGCTGTTGCTATGCCCGCCTTAGAATCTGCCTGTAACACAAGAGAACAGGATTCCCCGAGGTCCCTGCTGAGCTTGGGTCCCCAAGGTCCCCGTTGTCCAGGCTGGGGCGAAGTTCCCTGTGACTGTCACCTGCTCGGCCGGCGCGCGGGGGTGTGGCCGGGGCGTGGCCTGGCGCTCGCGG